AAGGTTCGGAGACTTCGCTCGATAGGGTACATCCAACTGCAACTAACTTGTCCCACAATTATTGTTTCGTATGGTAAGTAAACTGCAAGATGCATCATAACATTAAAAAATGCTGGTGGGAATATTCTCTCCAACTTACATAGTATGATTATAATGTCAGATTGCAATCGATCCAGATCATTGATGTGTACTGTCTTTGCACATATATCACGAAAGAAGTTACATAGCTCAACGATAGTCGTACCCACAAAATTTGGTACGTATGCTCGAATGACAATCGGTAAGAGTCGTTGTAGCAAAACATGACAGTCATAAGTTTTCAACCCCTCATCCTCTACGCTCACACATCTCGATATATTTGACACAAATCCATCTGGAAACTTATCTGATTTCCAGAATTTGCAAATCTTCACCCTCTCAGCAGCAGTCAATGTATACATAGCATGTGGTTTTACAACTTTATTCCCCTCTTTTTGTAAGTGTAAATCTCTTCGAATTTTTAAATCTTCTAAATCCAAACGCGCATTGATCATGTCTTTCGTTTTCCCATCAATATTTAACAAAGTTCCTACTAGATTGTCACATATGTTTTTCTCGATATGCATCACATCCAACTTATGTCTTAACATAAGTTTCGACCAATAGGGAAATTCGAAGAATATACTTTTTTTCGTCCAATTTAAATCTCGCTTTCTTTTACTCTTTTGTTTGGTTGGATTCTTACCAAAATTTGGAAAATTTAGTGTATTTACTTGTTGAAGAATCGCATCTTCATCCATTGACATTGGTGGGGGGCGTCGTTCTAACTTTCCATCATGCAGTCTATTCCCACACCAACTATGATTTTGAGGAAGATAACGTTGATGTCCCATGAACAAATTTTGCTTCTTATTCGAAAAGACGAATTGTCCTCTTTACAGATGAGACATGCTTGGTATCCCTTCGTACTCCATCCAGACAAGTCACCATATGCTAGAAAGTCATTAATAGTCCATAAAAGAGTTGTGTGTAGTTGAAAGTACTCACCACTTGCACAATCGTAAGTACGAACCCTAGTATCACATAACTCTTTCAACTCTTCAATTAATGGCTGTAAGTAAACGTCGATATCTTTTCCAGGTGACTTAGACCCAGGAATAAGCAATGACATTAATAAATTACTTTCCTTCATGCACTTCCAAGGAGGTAACTTATATGAAATAAGTACCACTGGCCACATGCTATACAAATTACTCATATTCCCAAACTAGATTAAACCCATCTGAAGCTAGTCCCAAACGAACATTTCGTGGGTTTGAAGCAAATCAAAGAAATGTGTTATCTAGATGCTTCTACCGCAAAGCGTCAGCTGGATGTCATAAGACACCCTCTGTCTCAACTCGTTCTTCTTTATGCCACCTCATTTCAGAAGCGAAATGTTTTGAAGAAAAGAACCATTTCAATCTTGGTATCAATGGAAAATGTCGTAACACTTTTTGGGGGACTTGTGAAGCTTTCCCATCACTGTTTTTATGATGAGGTTCACCATATACTGGACAACTTTGACATTTAGAATATTCTTTCATGAATAATATACAATCATACTTGCAAGCATGTATGGACTCATATGAAAGTCCTAAATCACACAGTCTTTTTTTAGCCTCAATGATGTACTAGGTATAGATGCAACTATTGTAAAATGCTTCGTTTAACAATTCAAGTAACATATCAAACAATTTATTACTCCAATTGTTAATGACTTTGATATGCATAAGTTTTACTAAAAAATTCAATAATGAAAATTTTGTACAACTTGGATACAATTGACTATGCGCTTCATTGAACAACTGCTCGAAATTGTTAGACGTGTCTCTTCCATGTTCGTTTGGGGGCATCTCAAAACAAAATTGTTCACCTTCTACATTTTCTTCTACCATAGGGTACTGTAAATCATTCAGAAGTCCAGACATATCACCATCCTCATTATTCATAACATTGGGTTCTCTACTTAATTCATTGTGTGAAGGAGTTTCACGTCTTGTATAACAACTTGAACGGATTGGTTCTTCTACATGGTATATGCATTGAGTATATGAAAGTGATATTCCATTTATAAACAAGTGTCTTTCTACCTCATCAATTGAAAGCCACTTTACATTCATACAATATCTACATGGACATCTTGTTTTTCCCATATTGTTGACGTGAAGTTTTGCCAATTCTATGAAATGTTTTACTCCTTGAACATATTCGGGCGAGAATCTATCACTAACCTTAATCCAATCCTTATTCATTCTCCATGATAATACTATTTAAAAAACCTCTAATTCAGTATAAATGGTCAATGTTGAATCCTAAAAGAATCAGATAAAAGATTAGGTTCATTTTGCCATCAACCTAAGGATATTTTTAAAATAAAAATATCTAAAATTTGCATTCAAAGTGAGACGATGAGGACAGGGGTGTGGTCATTATTGTCGATTATGAGTGTTGTAGTTAAAAGTAGGAGAGTTTGAAAGTATTATTGAAGGCTTAGATATATTCCTAAGATATAACCACTAAAAAAAGAACTAAAATATACTTAGAGAGGTCGCTAAAAATCTAGATCAAACATTCACAACCAAAATAACGAATTCATAATTCATTATAAATTCAAAACCAACACAATAAAATCACAAAGAACACATATGAATAAAACAATCATGCGCACAAGCATCGACTAATTTAAGTAGTTGACTTGATCACCACATATTCATTTGGTAGCTTTTAAACTAAATAACTAACAGTATTTCCTAGTTACTAAACCAATAAATTAAATCAGACAAACAATATTTCAACATCTCACAATCAAATAAAGTATGTCAAAATAAAACAATTAACAATTTTCATAATTTCTCAAATAAGTCATTTCACAATTTATCCAATAACTCATATAAAACATCTACTACTAAACAAAACATAACTCAAAGCATGTGTTAAAGATTACAAAACATCAAATAGAATTCACAATTTATCAAATGAAATTGACAATTTCTCAAATAACAAACAAAATAATATACATAAATATAATATTTTTAAAATACGAAAAGACCTAAATAATTCTAATATTATAAAAAAATAACATAAATAGGGTAAAAAAACAACCTCAAGCCTTGTTGAGGCGTCGACACGGCGACGGCAGGTGGCGGCGGAGAAAATGGTGAGGGCTGCGTCGAAGCAGGTACGGGCGGCACGAAATGAAGAAGAGAGGGTGCGGGCGACGCGGACAAAAGAAGGGAGAGTGCGGGATCGGACAACGGTGGGGATGGACGGACGACGACAGTGAGAACGGATGGCTTCGGGAGCGGCAACGACGAACGTGGCGACGAGAGAGATGAGGGGTGGGGACGGCGCGAGAGAGAGATAAGAGGAAGATGAGAAATGGAGGAATTAAGAAGAAATGAGTTGTTTGGATTTTAGGGCAACCTTTAGCGACGACATTTAAAGTCGTCGCCAAAGGTTCAAAAATTGTGGCCGAAAAAGCAAATTTAAAATTTGTCTTTGACCCTTTCGATGAAGAAATCATTATTTCGTTGCCGATGGCCACCTTCGATGACGAAAAGCCAAGTTGCCGCCGAAAGTCGTGCCTCTTTGACGATGAAACATACTTCTCGTCGCCAAAGATGCCCAGAAAGGGGCGGAAATTTTACCGCCTCATAAAATTTCATGGATTAACCCATGTTTTGGCGACCAAATATATATTTCGTTGCCGAAATATGGGTCTTTCGGCGACGAAATTGGTAATTCGTCGCTGAAAGACTAAGTTTCAGTGACGAAACCTGGTTTCATCCTCGAAACAATAAACTTTCGGCGACACATTACCGATTTCATTGCCAAAAGATTGGTTTAGGCAACGAATTTCAATTTTGTCGCCAAAACCGTGACTATCGAGACGAAATTAGATGTCGTCGCTGAAAATCTCTTTCGGCGTGGAAAAAATCTGTGGTCGCCAAAAATTCCGTCGCCAAAAATCAAAATTATTGTAGTGATAGTAAGTAAAAGGTCAAAATCAGTTGTATGCTTATCGCTAAACCACCATAAAATATCAGAGACAATAGAGACATTCTTTGGCCAATCCATATTGTAGAAAGGAGTACATGCCCAAACGAGCTTACTCTATTTGCATCGCCAAAACACATGAAAAGAGTCTTCCTTGCCAGCCCCACACGTAGAACACCTTCCCGATATGTCAACTCCTCGGTTTCTCAGATTTTCTACAGTTGGAAGGAAATTATTAAACAATCTCCAGTCGAAAAGCATCACCTTTGATGGGACATTTGCACTCCAAAGCCGTTTCCACCAAATTTCAGCCTGGCTAATATCTGATGGACTCACCCGAGCCTTTCTAGAATTGGCCACATGATAACCACTCTTCACGGTAAAAATGCCATTCTTTGTAAATTGCCACATGGTTCTATGAGGTTGATTAGACCGAGGAAGAATTATATTGGGAATATTCTCCACATCTCCATTATCAAAGCAATCTCGAATCAGAGGAACATTCCATTGTCCAGTTGGACCCCAAGAATCAGGAATCTTGTGGTCTTTCTCAACAAAAATTTGTTGTCCATTCCCCACCCTCCACCAAGTCCCTATACGTAAAATATTTTTCCCCCACATTAGACTTCTCCACAAAAAGGAGCATTCCGTTTGCATTGAGCTTCAAGAAAGGAGCAGTTTCTGAAACATTTGCTCTTCAAAACTTTGGGCCACAAGGGAGTTGGGAGTCGTGAGAATTCGCCAACCTTGTTTTACTAATAGAGCTTGGTTAACACTTTCCCATCCCTAAAACCCAACCCACCTTTAGATTTCGGGATACACACATTTTTCCACTTGGCCTAGTGGATCTTCCGCTTGTCTTCACTCCCTCCCCACCAGAATCTTGCCATAAGCCGATTACATTCCACTAACACCCTTTTTGACAATGTGAAACAAGACATGGAGTAGGTAGGGATAGTTTGCATGACCGCCTTTAACAAAATTTATTTCCCTCCCACCGAGAAGAGCTTCTCCTTCCAGTTTTGAAGATGCTTCCACATTTTGTCCTTAATATACCCAAACGACACAATCTTCTTATATGAAAGAGAAGAAGGAAGGCCTAAATACTTCTTATGACACGCAACCTCTCCGAGATTGAGAAGCCTTGCTAGCGATCTTTTCATGGCTCTCCCTGTATTAGGACTGAAACAAGCAGCCAATTTTTTAAAGTTTATCTCCCAACCTGTTAAGACTGAATAGAACTCCAAAGCCTTGACCATCGCCTGAACTTCTGCTCTAGTTGCCTTGGTAAAAAATAGGCTATCGTCAGCAAAGAACAAATGATTTATTGGAGGGCTTGCTCTAACAATTTTAATGCCCGAAATTTTCTTCACCCTCTCAAGCTCTGATAGAATCATAGATAAGCCTTCTGCACAAAGAAGAAAAAGGTAAAGAGATAGGGGTTTCATTGACGGAGACCTCTATGAGGAATCAAAGAACCTTTCCGTTCATCGTTTATTACAAAAGAATAACTAACTGAAGAAATAAACCGCATAATCAGGTTGATAAATGAGACATGGAAATCTAAAGCCGTCATGAACTTCTGAATGAAATGTCATTCCACCTTATCGTAAGGTTTACTCATATCAAGCTTTAGAGCCCTCCAGTTTATCTTTCCAGATCTCCTCGATTTAGGCTCTGAATACACTCGTATTCTAGAATTGCGTTATCTGAAATATTCCTCGCCAAGACAAAGGCACTCTGGAAAGGAGAAATAATATAATCTAGGATAAGCTTCAACCGATTTGCAATTGTCTTCGTAACAATCTTTTATAAAACTATGCATAGGCTAATAGGGTGGAACTCGGTGATATACTTCAAGTAAAATAAAACAGAAAAATTATACCAAATAGTAATTCTTCATCCCCAAATCATGAATTAATCTACAAAAAAAAAAATTACATATAGATAAAATCAAGTAAGTTAAGGTTTAAAAATCAAATAAATTTACTTTTGATTTAAACTTGACCCACACCCAAAAAGAACCGCGTAACTTTTGGTTTGAGGTACGGCAGCGAAGACAAATGAAAACTACAAAGAAAAAATGCATGTTAGCTTAAATCAAGTAAGATAAAGTTTAAAAAGGAAATAAATTTACATTTGACCCAAATCGCACAACCTTCTGGCGAAATAACGAAAGAAATGGCGGCAATAGGGCGGTGGCGAAGAAGGGGGAACTATAGATGGAGAAGAAACCCAAGAGAGACGAAATGGGGAGAAAGAAAATGAGGTGGGGTTTTGAAGGGAAAATTGACAAAATAAACGTTGTGTAGGTGTCTCATCGCCCTCTCCAAAACACAAGTTTTCTAGTCACTGCTGACATCACATACTTTGTCAAATGACATTTCATGCCCCTCCTTACTTTTTCTTCTCTTCCAAACTCCATCTCTCTTCTCTCTCCCCTCCTCTTTCCTCTATTTCATAGATTTGCTTGATCTTGTCCATGATTTCTACATAACACATACCAGTTTTTGGCGTCTCCGCTAGGAATTCAACGAGTGGAGGTCCCGTTCGGTTGCCGTCCGCTGCTTCCATCCCGAGCTCTTGCGCCTCCCTGGTGGCCTCTCCGGCGACATTGTTGAACAAGAATAATTTGCATATGAAATAAGATAAAAATTTCCTTATTATTTTTCCCAACTCTTTCACCCTCTCTTCTAAAATCAAATTTTCAAGATTTCAAAAACTTTCCTTCTATATCTCTTGTACGTCCCTCTTGTCCGGACTATCTTCTTCTCCATGAAACCAAATGCGTTGAGGAGGGAGGGGAGAAGAGAGAGAGGAGAGAAGAGAGAGGGACAAAGCGAGAGCGACGTCATCGATAGAGTGAGATCGAGAAAGACAGAGCGAGATCGAGAAAGACGAGAGCGAGATCCAGAGAGCGAGATCCAGAGAGCGGTGAAGAAGTGGTGATAATAAAGAAAAAAATGGGATGGTTAGGAAAAAAATGGATTGTTTTCTTTTGCGAGATCGAGAGAGCGAGATCTAGAGAGCGGTGAAGAAGTGGTGATAATAACGAAAAAAATGGGATGGTTAGGAAAAAAGGGGATTGTTTTCTTTTTCTTTTTCTTTTTTCTTTACTCCACCAAATTGAGTTAAATTAAATTTTAAATTTATGATTAAAGGAGCAGATTTATATTATGAGGAACAGATTAAGGAAAAAACATGATTTTTTTTTATACTTCCACCTAATTAGATAAAATTTTAAATTTACTATTAAAGGAGGACTACCTAATTAAATTATAAATTTGAATTCTACCCCTAATCAAAATTAGGGGAGATATTAAAGGAGAGATTTATGTTAATTTTTCAAATGATTCGTTCAAATAATTTAATAGGAAAAAAACAATTAAGAAAACAAATCTAAATTAAATTTCAAATTTGAATATACTAAAATTAATGCGATTTTATAATTTTAAATTTTAGTTAAAAAAATCTTCAATGCTTAGTATTTTAAATTTGAGATTTCGTCTCTCCATTCCAATTTTTAAAATCGTTTCTCGCTCAATCTCGCTCTCGCTCGCTCATCTCTCGTTTTCTCTCTCTCGCTCAATTCTCTCTCTCTCAACTTTCTGTTATTCAACTCTCTCTCTATCTCCTTCCCCATCCCATCGTAACTTTCTTCCTCTCCTGAGCCTCTTTCTTTGACGAATGACCTCCCTCGTCGGCTTTGATGCATCCGTCGTCGGCGATTGTTGAAGGTCACGGGAATTATGGAGGCTGCTATTTAAAAAATGGTGAGAGATTTAGGTTTTTTCTTTTTATGGTTTAGTAAACAAGAAAAAACTCATGCTTGCGGAAGGCATGGAAAAGAGAAAGAAAGAAGAAAAAAATCTGGAAAAGGAGGAAGATGGAGGTAGGGACCAGAAATAAAGAAAAAGAGAAATAAGGGAGGAAAATGACGAAAACTAAAAAAGCAGTAGAGTAAGGAAGGGCATGGGAGGTCATTTGGCAAACTAGGTGATGTCAGCAATGACTAGAAAACTTGTGTTTTGAGAAGAGCTATTAAAAAACTTAAAAGGGTCTCACAGGAAGCTTATTTTGTCAATTTTCCCGGTTTTGGTTTTGAAGGGGTCAGCAACGAAAAGGGTTTTCGCCGCCTGCCTCCAAAACGACGTCGAAATTTCAGCCAGAACGACATTGTTTGGGAGGTGGGCGACGAAAACTCATTTCATCGCTGAGCGCCAAAATAGTGTCGTATGTTTTAATAAAAAGAAGAGCGCCAAAGTTGGCGCCCATGCGTCGCTCCAAAAGCCGGCGACGAAAACTTTTCGTTGCCCCAATGACAAAAATTAGTCACCTTGCTCAGACGAAATTTTATTTTCGTCGCCGGCGTTTGGAGTGACGAAAATTCATTTTCGTTGCTTTTTTAACGACTATTTATTTTCGTCGCTTTTTTTTTTGCGACAAAAGGTTTTTCGTCTCTAATTTTCCTTGTTGGACAACAATTTTCTTGTAGTGAGTGAGACTTGCAGAGAATCCATAGAAAACGCTAAAAATCAGGGCTAACTTGTTCTACGACCAATAAAAAGTTGAAAAATATATTGTATTTTAATTATATTTGATTTGTTATGTTCAATTAATACTTATATTGTTATCCTGTTTGTTTGCTAGCTAGTGTATACGATGTTCTTTCCATATTTCTTGGGTGGCTTTCAATGCTGCGAGTTTCTTAGGTGGTGTTTGGGGAAGGGAATACTGGGGACACGTGGAAGACCCCTATTGGTGCTCCAAGATGACTCATGAATCATGCCCAGCTCGGAAGGCCGAGATGGCCGCCACCAACGCCGACAAATGCCAAGTGTGAGGGCCGAGGTGAGCCTGGCTCAGGTCCGACCCACCGGGGAGCTCGGTATGGGCCGAGATGCGCAACTGTCTGCGGCGTAATTATCGGGCGTAACCATCGGTCCCGAGATTACCGGATGTAACCGACGGTCCCGAGATTACCGAATGT